AAGTCTCGGTGGTGGTGGTGGTCAATGTCCAGTTGGCAGCGGGTGCAAACCTTGGAACTCCACCCGCCATCAATGACATCATTATGGGCTTCCAACCTCCCAGCAGTAATAAATACATCTGACACGACCTCGTGATGATCTCGAAAGTGTAAAAGCAAATTCCCACGAGTATTTCAAATTGTTCCAATTCCCTCAGCACTGTAAGTTGATCACGGTCAATGCTATCGGGCTGCTTGTTGCCTTCACACTATAGTTGACCATGCTGAACTCGCTCTACGCAATCTAGACAAGTCTCTTGGATCAGTACCAATATGTCTTACGCAGAAGCCGCCGCGAGAGGGCCCAAGCAATCTCCCGAAGAAGTACGCTTCTCTAGTCCCATCTCATGAACATGCTGACCTGAATCGCAGGCGTAAGTTGTGACGGTCTACGTGGAGGCTGGTAAACTAATGACACTGGTCCCATAGTCGCGCTCCCCAGATCAACCGCGTTTACAAAGACGAAGCCGATAACACAGCATCCCTGATTGATGTTGACGGACCACATGTGACAGCTGTGGACTCGGACTTTCTGGAACATGATGTGAAGACTAGCACACAGGCGGAACGCATAGCGCGAGAGGAGGAAGAAACAGCTCGTGAGAAAAAGAAGAAGTCCAAGAAGACATCGCGTGCTCGTGAAAACCAAAGCAATCCCGTGTTCATTGGCAACGCCGCCCTCATGGCTCTTGTGGGAGCTGGTCTCGGACTTGGTGCCTACAGGAAGCACACACAGGGCAAGCTCTCGTGGGAGCTCGTGGGGCTGTGGACTGGAGCCGTGGGTGCCCTCGGCGCAATTGACTATTTCGCAAGCAAGTATGCTTTCCTGCCTTCCACACTTACAGTTTGGACCCCGGAGCATCTCCTTACTAACCTGCGTCATTATCATAGATGGCTGCTCCAGAACAAGTACCCTCCCAAATAAACGCTGAATCCAGAATTTAGAAGACTTCTGCTATGCTATCCATTTTGTACCAGGGATTGCCAGAGTTTATTGGGTACTTCTTTCTCAATTTCACGTGTTCCCATGTACATCTAGTTTTCCAATGAAATGATATCCCGGCTCTTGCTGAAACAATAATGGCCCCTTCTCTCGGCAGAAAGGGAAACTGCGAGAGAATCCCCTCGTATATGCCGATCACTACTCAAGTTCTGTCAGGCGGCCAATGGAGATGTGTGTATAACTGGTGATATGGGTGTCAAAAGATTCATCATTGGCCTGCTTGGTTCCTGAGCGCATTGAACACATTCTTTGGCAAGGTTGCACATCAAGCTTGACGATTAAAAAGCTTGTGGGTAAACCAGGACCCAGTATTATGATGTTCTCTTAGACAAACCAAGTTCTGAGGAGCTTGGAAGTGCCTGGAAGTTAGGCCGTGATCTCAGGATTATTGTAGGGTGCAACTGTCAACTCGAGGAGTCGAGAGGGCGGTCAAAAATTAGGTAACGGAAGTGCCCGCTGGACTACCTTACATACATAGGTAACGCGCTGGCCTATCGATATAGTTGGCAGAATCAGATAGCCACGAGGTTCTCGAACGCGTCGCATTTCTCCGAATACCAAGCCGAAATCTGCTGGCTTAGCCCTTACGGACCGGCTACTCCCTTTGCCTACCCCTTTTGCTGACAGTCTCGGTACCTGCCTGTGCCGGGGAGGGCCGTATTCCCTTGAGAAATGGTATGGAGCCTTTTGCTTGAGGCAGTCTCATAGTGCATCGCTTACTGACAGTTCTGCGATTGTGCCCGTTCAGAATTCCCTCTTCAACTCTGCCCTCAAGCAGTCGTCTGCTATTCGCCGTGATCTGGACACCTTCGCACAATCTCCGGCAACAACTCCTGCGGCATTACAAGGTAACGAATACCTCGCCATCGAGAGTAACCGCTGCTGGTGGACGGCGCCGCGTGCTTGATCTAATCCTGGATCATTGCTGACGTCCGTATGTAGGCCAGATTGCAGCTTCGTTAGCGTCCCTATCACGAACAATCGATGACTATTCCGCACTGTCTAAGAAGGAATTGATCCCGGAAAAGCAGGAGAAGGCATTTGAGAGAGTCAAGAACTTCAGAGCAGAACTACAAGATTACCGGCAACATTTTGATCAGCTGCGCAAAGAGAGAGAGGATGCGGTAAGTGTCAACGCTCTGAAAGTCCCTCTACCATGATCTTGCGAATGGACCGCGCCTAATCAACTCTGCTTGTTCACCAGCAATCTGTAACAAATCGACACGAACTGCTTGGCCGGCGTCCACATCACACAGCAACTCCCGAGAACCCATATGCCCAGCCGTCAGTGTCCCACTCCTCGCCCTTTGCGCCTTCTTCGGCTCGGTCGGGCGCTGGTTTCGGGGGCTCAGACTATACTCGGGAATCTCACGCTTTGCGGGAGCAATCTTTCCTGGCAAATACGAGTTCTCAGATTGACGATTTCATTGACCGAGGTCGAGCCGTCCTCGCTGATCTCGGACAGCAGAGAGAAGTACTCAAGGGCACACAGCGCCGCCTCTACAGCGTTGCGAATACATTGGGTGTAAGCGGGGAGACAATCCGGAAGGTCGAACGACGAGCGAAGCAGGATAAATGGATATTCTGGGCTGGAGTGATTCTATTCTTCTTGTTCTGCTGGGCGGTACTGCATTTTCTGAGATGAATTCCGGGTTGATTGATTCCTAGCTTTGATTGATTTTTCGTAACAGCAGCAATTCCGTGTGCTGTCGTGCTTGTCGTTGCTGGTATAGTTTCACCTAGCGCAGGCGTTACGGTTGCTTCGTCAGTGGTGACGGCTATTCTGTGAGATTTGGCCTGTTTTATGTTCCTATGTACCTATGAAGTCCTTCCGAATAATGGCTCTAAATAAATCCCGAGAAAACCCCGTCTGGATGTTGTACCTCAGAGGTCCAGCGGTTGTCATGCCAATAAATGATGCCATGTGAGGTTCCGAGTGGCCTTTTGTGGGGCTTAGGTTGACTCGATCCGTTTCCTAAATTCCGAGCCCGCAAACGAGGTCCCGTTTTTCCTTCTCACCGGGGCCGCCTTTCCCTTCTCTTCTCTCTTCCATCTCCCTCCATCGCATTTAATTGCATTCCTCCTCCTCCTCCCCCCCGCTTCTTTTTCTCTGACATATCCTTTCTCTTCCATCACTCATCAGACACAATGTTTGCTGCTCGTCAGACATTTGGCTTCCTCCAGAAGCGCACCTTCTCGGCCTCTGCTAGCCAGGTAGGCATTCTCCTTGCGACCTCGGTGCTTTCGCGTCTTTGTTGTCGGGTACTTCGGAGCTATTTCTCATGCAGCTACTTACCATTTGCATTCTCTAGGCCTCCAAGGTTTCTGTCCTCGGTGCCGCTGGTGGTATCGGCCAGCCTCTGTCCCTGCTCCTCAAGCTCAACCCTCGTGTCTCCGAGCTTGCCCTGTACGATATCCGCGGTGGTCCCGGTACGTCGCACAGCTTCTGAACTGAACTACCCACTTATCCGAACTGGACTGACCGAAGCATTCTCTAGGTGTCGCTGCTGACCTCAGCCACATCAACACCAACAGCACCGTCACTGGCTACCAGGCCTCCGAGGAGGGTCTCCGTGATGCCCTCAAGGGCTCCGAGATCGTCCTCATCCCTGCCGGTGTTCCCCGCAAGCCCGGCATGACCCGTGACGGTACGAGTACATTCAACGACTGCCACACGGATGGGAACTGACTATCGCTTCCATAGATCTCTTCAACACCAACGCCTCTATCGTCCGTGACCTTGCCAAGGCTGCTGCTGACGCTTCCCCCAATGCCAACATCCTCGTCATTTCCAACCCCGTATGCTTCGATTCTGTGCTGTTTTGTCGGAGTACGTGCTAATGTAGTCAGGTTAACTCCACCGTCCCCATCGTCTCTGAGGTCTTCAAGGCTAAGGGCGTCTACAACCCCAAGCGTCTCTTCGGTGTCACCACCCTTGATGTCGTCCGCGCCTCTCGTTTCATCTCCCAGGTTCAGTCCACCGACCCTTCGAAGGAGGCCGTCCCTGTCGTCGGCGGACACTCCGGTGTGACCATTGTTCCCCTCCTCTCCCAGTCCAGCCACCCCAGCATCAGCGGTACCACCCGCGATGAGCTTGTCAAGCGCATCCAGTTCGGTGGTGACGAGGTTGTCAAGGCCAAGGATGGCGCTGGTTCCGCCACCCTCTCCATGGCCATGGCTGGTGCTCGCTTTGCCGAGTCTCTCCTCCGCGCTTCCCAGGGCGAGAAGGGTGTTGTTGAGCCCACCTTCGTCGAGAGCCCTCTCTACAAGGATCAGGGTATCAACTTCTTCGCCTCCAAGGTCGAGCTTGGACCCGAGGGTGCCGAGAAGATCCTTCCCGTCGGCGAGGTTAACGAGTACGAGCAGAAGCTCCTCGATGCCTGCCTTGCTGATCTCAAGAAGAACATCCAGAAGGGTATTGACTTCGTCAAGGCTAACCCTTAAATACATTTAACCGCTCAATATTCTGCAGCCGCGTTCCTCCCTGTATAACAGTCTTGTCATTGATTTGTCCACTCCCCTATACTTCCATTTCTCATCGACTTGTACTGCAATGGAGGAATATAGCTGTTGAAAGAGTACTTTGACGGGGATGAAGATCGGAGATATAACCTGTATTTTTTACCCAAAATTTTTTAAATGAAGCTCATAATTACGACTTACGCTGGCTTTCACTCATTATTCGTAAATGATATCCAACTATATATCTTTCGCAGCGCTCACCTCAATATTGAGTTTGTGATCAGGAAAGTTTCGGATCTTCAGCAGGGGTTGAATATGTACCTACACACATTCCATACCAATATAAATGCCACCCGAATCTCGCCAGAAAGCTAGTTTCCATCGCATCAATATCAGTCTGCTCCTAACCAAGTATCGAAACAGCCCATGGCCCTGCATTTGGTCTTCCGGCTCCACCGCGTAGTCATATACCTAAGTGTTTTCGAAAAGTCCCCAATGCCTCTATGGTCTAGTTGGTTATGACGCAGGTCTCATACTTTGATATGACATTTCTGTTAACAGAAATGACTTGTGCGACATCCTGAGGTCCCCAGTTCGATCCTGGGTGGAGGCATTTCTTTTTATTTCCTTTTGTGCTCTCCCCACCTGCAGTTTTCGACTTGGTGGAGATGCTGGAAGGGATCCATATCCATCCACACATAGTTACATTCATGGGGTGTGGCAGCTGCCGCAGTGTCGAGTTGGGTTTGCGGTATTGGTAGAGCGAGGGATTTTTACTGACGTATTGTTTTATTTCCTTCTCTTTTCTAACCTTTTTTCAATGTGTATACAGCCTATATTCAGAGGGCGGATACTGTTTGAAACGGCAGGGCAGTTGTTCGGGTACAAGGAAGACCAGAGCACCAGGTGGATTGTAGATAACTAGAAGATGGGAGGGCTTCAGAGAATGGAGAAGTGTCTAGTGTCATTATTTTGATAGCTTGATATGTATGACAACACTAATGCCCTGAGAAAACCGCGCATGTCCAGTCATAAGTCGTTCATTCGTCCGTTGTAAGGAGACAAGAGCTGAAATAACCGACGAGTAACCGCCATAGAAAAGAAACAAAACGCATTGGACAACTCAGAAGTCAGAAAGAGAGAACGAGCCGGTGAAAGAACTGGGAAGAACTAAGTGTAACTCCTCATCGCATCAATGTAACCGGTCCCTCCGCGCAAGTCATGATCAAAAGTCTCAGCGACGTCAAGAACACGTTTGATATGTTCCATGGATAGAGGAGCGTTTTCGTTGACGGCAAGGGCTTGAGCGGTTCGGACTGAATTTTTGATCTGCGTAACATGATTAGTGTACAGCTAGAGAACCTTGTGTGGGTATGTGGAGATCGCTCACCTGTCGTCCGTTGAGGTTGTGGCGTGATAGCAAGTCAAAGTCCTTATCCGTGAACTGGGCCGTCTGTACTCCCTCAATGGCCTGTACCCTTTCCAGGAACATCTTCCACACGCTACGCTTGGCCTTTGTGGTGAGATCGCCGTAGCGCAGTGCAACGTGAATACGGGATTGGAAGGCGTCGTCAAACGTTTCCACCCGGTTGGTGGTGAGGAAGAGAATTCCTTGAAAGTACTCAAGAAGACGGAGAAAGATGCTGACAAGTGCGTTCCGGTGGATGTCCTGAATTGTCCGCTTCTCCAAAAAGATATCTGCTTCGTCCAGCAGCAGCACTGCTCCCCAGGAATGAGCGATGTCCAAAATTTTGTTCAATTCCGCCTCCAGTGTCCGCGAGTCTGTTCCAAGTTCTCCAGCGCTCACCATGTACAAGGGGCGCTTCAACAACTCTGCTATGCCCTCGGCAGTGAGGGTCTTTCCAGTACCAGGTGGGCCATGAAGCACGGCAACAAGGCCCTTGCCCTTCCCTTGAATGACATCGTCAATATTTCGAGCTGCGCTGAAGGTATGAGACTCCACCAAGGCTTTCACGATGGACTTTTGATTTTCAGCAAGGACAAGCGAGCTGAATGCGTCCTCATTCCACTCGATTTCGCTGATTCCAGAGATGCTGAATTCCAGCCAGAGTTTCTCACTGAAGGCGAATCCCAGGACCACCGGGCTAGCAATGAGTAATTCCTCTTCAGTGAATTCCCGCTCGGAATCGTCAGCAACCTCGTCCAGGCTCTGTTTCTGGATCTCATTCCCATTTTCATCAACTTCTACCGCAACGACTTGTGGACGACCTTCCTTATCGCGGACAACCTTATACTTGTACTTGGGGGAATCGGAGTCGCGGCGTTGAGCAATTGGCTGGTCCGATTCTGACCCTGACATACAACAACACCCGTTGTCGCTGCCATCGTCCGTGTCGTCCAAGAAATCGGGGTCTTTGGGACGGACTGTGCTGATAGGGTAATTCGGGTTAATGCGACGGTGAATTGCCGGGTCGATCATGACACGACCGTTGATGTTGACCTTGATAACGGAGCGCTTCTTTTTATAAAACGCCATGCCTTTATGGAATCGGTAGTTCATGCCTCTCAGAGCGACAAACTTCTTTCCCCGCTCGATAAGCGTCTCTTTGATCTCATCAGCTTCGCGGTGGTACTTGAGCGGATAGCACCCCAAGCTGGTGATCTTCCGGGCTCCCTTGAAGGACTCCACCTCAGCTGCCATTGTCCCCATGCCGAACGTTTTACCGTCATACTCAAGGTAGCGGCCTTCGATGCTGTACCATTGGCCTTTCATAAAAGACGTCTCCTTGCTAGCGTATTCTATCTTAAATGCGCGGGGCTCATCTTGGTTTCCGTACGTAGGCGCATACGCAATAGTGTTCGGCTTGAACAACGCCCACAGCAGGTCAAAGGTAATAGTGTTGGCCTCCAACATGGGGTATAATGTCTTTTTGGTCTCGGCATAGTCTGTGTCCAAGTACTTGATAAGGACCTTCAAGTGGTTGGCTTTGAGAGCTGCTGACTTCCTTGCTTTCTTCTTCTTCTCGGTCTTGGCCTGCTGTTTGAGCTCTTTCATGTACTGGCGAGTTTCTTCGAGGTACAGGAAGAGCATGTTGGGATCCACAACCGCAGATTCCTGCACCATGGTCACACCCTTAACACCATCCATGACTTTGCCCAATGCATCGCGAAGGTACTTGCTCTTGAGGTCAACAACCGTCTCTATGTACTTGTTATCCCAGTCAAATTTGCGGCGTACGGTAAAGAGGTACTGATCCCATTCATTCGCATCGGGGTCGTCCACAGTTTCGGTGAGCTTGAAGTTGTGGATCGTATTATCCCACACTACAGCAGGACGGTCCGTCAAGTTAGCTCCAATGAGAAACAGTGCTGGGGTACGTACATTGATCTACTCTCTTGAAGGCCATTTTAGATCCGGCTTTCCTCTTTAGCTTTTTCAGCGAGCCTTTTTGAGAGTCGCCCAGGGGATCGCCCAACATCCGTCTGCCGCGGCCCTTGAGACGCTTTCCATCGGTTTGTTTCGCCTTGAGCTTCTCCTTTGCCAGAGCAAGGGACATTTCAACCAGCTCAACATCGTCATCGTTAAACTGCTGATCCTCGGATGAGTCGCCCGTTGGATCAAGTATCCTAGCTTTCTTTGCCTTAAGTCTGTTGATCAATTTCCTGATTTGTTTCTCGTCCAGAGAATCGTCCTGTTCGGTCTCGTCAACTTCCGACCCGGAGATAGACTCGCTGTCATATCGTGACCTGAGTTTCTTCGTCTTACTGCGCCTCAAATTCTTTTTCGCTTTCGTCTTGGTACGCCTCCGCCGGGTTTCCACCTGGGAGGACTCCGACGAAGAGGCTTCATATTCCGAAGACGATTCGCTGCTGCTTGTGCTCTCAGAGGAAGAGCTCTCATCAGAGGAACTGTCGTCGCTAGGCGTTGCTATTGACGACTTCTTTCCTTTCCGGGACTTCTTCTTGGAATCATGGCTCCGGTTGGGGTCGTGTTCCGTTCCTGCATGCTTTTTGCATGCGGACTTCTTGGCGTTCCCCTCTGAGGGCGAAGCTGCGGGCTTAGCATCGGAATTGACAGCATTATTATCGGCTGCCGGTTCCACGTGAAGCTTTGTATCAACGTTGGCTGTGGTTGCGGTGTTTGAAGAGTCGACCATAGCTTCGGGACGCGGGTGCGCTGGGGTGGGGACCCGCTGTGGAGCTTCTTGGTGCGGAGTTGTAGATGGACTCAGAACGGCGTTGACGCTTGGTTCTCTTTGCGCTTCGGACTCTGGAACAGTAGACTGTTGGAGACTATTTGAGGTGGATACAGAAAGATCAGCGTTGGCGGACATTATGATTAATCTATAGACGCGAGCTGAGCAGATCGTTTGGCGCAATGTGTGGAAAGTTTGGAAGAAGTGAAGTTGAAGGAGTGAGAAGAGAGCGGAGATAAGAAGCTCCAGAAATATGAAAGAAAAGACAGAGCCAGAAGGGAAAAGAACAGGAAAGTGATGGACGTGTCACACTTCAAAGGAAGGTTACGAAGCTGAGGAGGTACGTTCTTGTTCTGCCTTGCGTTTGATTTTGGTGGTCTGGATTGGCTGAGCGAAGGAAACTGTTCTGGCGGTGTGTTAGGATCTTCAGTAGGTATTTTGTGTAGGGGCCGGTTGGTAAAGGCACCTGAATCCAAAACAATCTTGACTTCGGAGAATGGAACCGGAGATTGAAGACGTGCGAGCAGAAGAAGAGGAAGAGGAAGAAGAAGAAGAAGAAGAAGAAGAAGAAGAAGAAGCAGAGAGCTCCAGGGCTGAGGAAGAGACGTAGGCTAGAGAGGCAGCCTGCTGACAGGCAGCTGACCGGGCTTATCTTATAGACTGAAATGACAATAAAGTCAGATCAGCAAATTGATGGGCCAACTAAGACCCAAGAGAAACCAGCTAGCTGGCAGTTGCTGGCTGAAGCTGATGGATGCCTGGCCGAAGGCTGAAATAATGCCCAGGTGACGCATACCCAAAGGTGATTTCCGTCTTCCACTCTGCCACCTGCATCCTTTCGCCCCGCGATGCAGGTCTGCCCTCTTCAATATCTATCCACCAGAAGATGAGCATCAGCCCAGGTAAGGCGCCTTTCGGTCAATCCTTGATCGGTCCTTGATTTCAGGTCCTTGAGCAGGGATATTATCGACCATTGGGTACAGTTGCAAACTCAGGTACCGTTCGAGACCGTTACAGAATATATGGAGTGAGTACTTCCCCGGCCCTACTCTGCCCAAAACTTCATTTGGGTACTCCGATATTCTCTGACCCTGTCCAAGGATCAGATATCCACCCGGCATTCTTCAAGTGCAAGGGTCTGGATGTAAACCCGCATCGACACCATAGATCCCTCTGTTCCCCAACGCTCGGCCTATTCCTATTCTCCCATCCTCGGTGAGTTTATTACTACTTCTAGATCAGACTCAATTACGATGCTGACCAAGCGATTTATCTGCCGTAGGAGCCCGTTCCGAGATATCCTTGTCTGGTCACCGAAACTACTCCAAACCAACACCCAACCCGAGATGGGGGCAGAAAAACCAGATCAACGGGAGAACAAGAACAGTAAGCATGGGCCAGAATCTGGACCATCTAGAAATTCAGGACCCCTGTTACACGGATCCTTGATCGAAAG